TCCCTCTGAAACAGTATATTCCCTGTAGCTCAAATCAAAACCAAAAAGTAACAAAAAAAAGGAATGAGATGTCTCATTCCTTTTTACATAGGGATAGCAATTTGTTACTTCAGATAGAATGACTCTATCTATTAGAGATGGTAACAGATACGTTATCAATTAGTATTCCAGCATCCACAACATTTTTCTTAACAGATGTTAAGATGGCTCATAAGTTTCTGCAGTTCCAGCTCAATCTGATTAGTTGGTGACTTAAAATGCTGAACCAAAGTAGCATCTTTTGGTTTTTAACCATTTATTGATCAAAAATTTGTTGTTGGTGGTTTAATTGTAGATTAATTATATCCACAATACAGAAATGGGTGTAGCCAATTCATAAACAAATCTTTAAGAGCAAGTATGGGTGGTTGGGCCACACTCAACGCAAACCCTTCAGCGAAATCGCACATGCCGAATGGCATCTGTAAAGAAGAAGAAATCGCGGTCGACCAAAGGCTACATGGAGAAGGACAATAAGCAGAGAATCGGGCATATCTTTCAGTTAACTAAGAGCTATAGCACTAGCGCGTAATAGAAACAGTTTGAAATCTTTTGCGATTAAACTAAATTCTTTAATTTGTTTTTTTGAACATGACAATAATAATAATAATAATAATACAGAATTGGATTCATGCTAGAGTCATCAGATATTCAGTAAATTATAATTCTGCTCCGGTTTATTAGCGATTGCAGTAAATCGTAACAGTCTAACAGAAGTTTCAAGAAAAGAGATAAATAATTTATTAATTTTAATTTCAATTTAATTAAATATAATTTTAACTTTTTAACTCATTTATTATTGACATTCAGGTATTTTTATAAATTTCATGAAAAGAAATTCTGTACTTAAATAAATAATAAAATAATGTCTTCATAAAAGAGTATGAGGAAAGGTGAAAAAAAATTAATTTCTCTGAAGACTTTTGTGAGATCTTTTATTTTTAATTTTATTTGAATTAAACCACAAATTGAATCAAAGACGTTGAAATTGAAATGTCTTGAGCAACTTTTTGATTTCCACGCTTGTATGTATTTAAATTAAATTTTCTTTTGTTTGTAGCCGCGGGTCTTTTGTGTTAAGAAGCAGTTCCGTCAATCCCAAGTAGCACAAAGGAAATGAAACCACAAAACCGTATAAACAGAAAGTTTGTACGATATTAAGATTCGTGGAATTCACTGGGAGATGGGAGACTGGGAGATATGTAGACATGCAGACACACTGACACTAAGACAGTAAGACAGAAGTTAGTAAGATACATTAAGCAAAATACTTGGTTACAAATAAATTAGCAAACACGTTGTAATAAGCGTCTGTAACGAGTATAATAAATATGTGCGTTCACAGTTAATTGTGTAAATACACTTTTCAGTTTCAGTTCAGTTCAGTTCACTTCGAAACTTCTATCCAAAGCAATAAGAGTACATATGTAAATGCATACTTAACTACAATTAAATATGTATAGATACCAGCATTTATTTTTGTATGTTTCGTTTTATATGTAGGCTAAAATGGATGAGTGTAAGAGTGTGTACATTGGCCGGAAGCTCCTGCAACTTTTATTTGACTTTAACTTCGTCTCATTAATTTTAACAAATACAAGAGTGAAATAGTTCGTAAAAGACAAAAGCCCTCTGAAACCCTAACCCCCACACATGATTTTTCATATGTAGAGTGAAATCCACTTGCACGCCCACACCTATTCAGATACCTGCTTAGCGAACATGGTAGGCACGGCACATTCATTTCGCATACGCATAGAAAACGTAAATCAGACGTAATTGTTCGGGACCTGAACATTTATGACCCGTTCCATTTGATATAAATGACAGCAGCCTGTTTGCTTTGCTTCGGAGGTTTCAGCCGGAATTGTGTGTGGTAATTATTTTAAATTTAAACAGCTTTGGGTGCTGTGGGATATGGCAAATTGGAAGTGGTAACAGCTAAAAAATATGCTACACATTATTAGCACCTGTGTGCAAATATTTGTTTCCCTCCAAGTTGAGAGTGCAAGATTTCCTTCCAATGCGTAGCATCTTAAGTAGAAATTAGGTTTTCTTTTTGGTAGCTTAGAGGCTAGGACGTTTAGACTTAGGTTTAGGTTATGTACACATTTGTAATGCAATGTAAATGATGT